TTTCCTTTCAAGCCTTTCCTAACTCTTTCAGTCCATAGATGTCTTTACCATTTGACACAGTATCTAATTTCTTTGATTTCTACTTGTAATGCATGGGGGTACTGGGGAAGAAAAGGAAAGAGGTTGTTTCATACGGATTTCTTTTCGTTTAAATTGTATTTTTATTTTAGTTGAAACCTATAAGTGACACTGATGCTACAGGCAGAGGATTTGCTTGCAATACCACCACACTGGCCCCTATTTAATTGATGTTTGGAATGTATTGGTTCTATGAAGTTCTTACAAGGAAAATTATACAGGGATTTAAAAATATATATTTATTTGAAAAGCAGAGCTACAAGGAACAGAAGGAGAGTTCTATCCATGGGTTCATCTCCTAAATGGCTATAACAGCCAGGCCAAAGTAGGAGCCATGAACTTTTTTCAAGTCTACCATGTAGGTAGACTTGGGCCCAAGGATCTGGGTCATCCTCTGCTGCTTTACGAGGTGCATTAACAGGGAGCCGGATCAGAAGCAGAACAGCCTGGACTCAAAGTAATGTCCACATAGGATGCTGGAATTGCAGGCAGCAGCTTTATCCCATAACACTGGCTTCAGAATTTATTTATTTATGTATGTATTTATTTATAATTTGAGAGGCAGAGTTAAGAGATAGGAAGAGAGGAAGAAGGGAGAATGCAACCATATGGAACACTAGCGTGGCAGGTGTGATGTAACCTATTAAGCTGTCATGCCTACCCTTAAACAGGGATTTTTAAGCCTTTGTATTTGTTGATTTCTCTCTCAAGTCATTTTCAGTATTTAACAATAATAAAATGTGGCTTATTCAGCACCACAACAAACTGAAGTGGCTCACTGCTGGTAGGAGACTGTGGCTGTGTTAGAGCTCTGAATCGCTTTCTGTTTGCATCAGTCCCTGACCTCACCCTTCTGCACAGGTTCTTAGTGCCCCACCTTGGGCTTTCACGTATGTATGCTCAAGCTCCCAGGCTTTCCGCTGCATTCTGCTGTTTCCTACATTGGACTTTATGCCATTCAGTGGCAGTCACTGTGTTTTAATGTCTTCGTATTCCCAAGTTAAGTACAGGTCGGTCAATGGATAATTGCTCAATTAAAGAATAAAACTTCCATAAACAGTAGATCGGCCGATTAAGTGCTTGAATTTGTCAAAAAAAAAAAAAAGCACACAAACTTAAACAAGGAAAAGAAAGGAAGGAAGGAAGGATGAAATAATATCATGGACAAAATTCTTTATTCTGATGGGTAGATAGACAAAGATTATATCTGCTGGTTTACTCCCCAAGTCTCTGCAAAAGTGAAGTCTTGCCAATAGCCCAGAACTCAATCTAGGACTGCCCAGCGGGTGGTAGGAGCTCAAGCACTTGAGGAATAACCTGTCCTGCCCCGGGTACTCATTAGCAGGAAATTGGAATAAGAAGTAGAGCCAGACTGGAACTTTGCAGAATGTGGGTGTCCCAAGTGAGGTCCTAACCATTAGGCCAAAGGCGCCCCATTCATGGGTAATCTGCAGGTCTTGAAATTTCTCCAGCCTGAGGCTAAAAGCTAGCTGACATTAACATTAACATCTGGATTCAGACAGCTGGGTGAATGCTGTTCCTAGGTGACAATCTCTGTGATATCCTTCTAACATACTTCTGAGTTCCCAGACAGTGTCTGCTGTTACCAGCGAGTGGGCTGCTCCCATTGCCAGCTCTGGTCTGCCCGAGTTTCATTTGTGGAGTCCCAGCTCCATTAGAGATCAGCAGTCTGTGCTCCTGACCACCGTGGATACTCTCAGTGCTCATGGTGACCTTCTCTCACAAAGAACAGTTCCTCCCTATACATTACATAGGCTGTGCTAGGAGTAGCTCAGGGTTTGGGGTTGTCATAGAATTATACGGACCATAGCAAGTATCTTTATACACACAGCCCCTTTTCTCCCTAGAGAAGGATGCACACTGCCAAGGTAACGGGATTAGGATTCATTTTCAAACAATCACATTGTTCTTAGACCAAGAGTGATCACCTGGCTCACTCATCCTGTCAATCTTATTTCTGAATGTTGTATTTTTTCTTTAAATTTAAATTAAAAAAATTTTTTAGTTAAAAGGCTAATCCTCCACCTCCTCCACTCCCCTCTCCCACACACAGAGTAGAGAAAAAACAAGAGATCACATCAGTTTGCCTATATGGTTGGCAGGGACCCATACGCACAAGCCATCACTGACTGAGCCCCAGGTGTAGCGCAGCAGGAGAGCTCGACTGAAAGGCAGAGATGGGACTTGTTTCCAGGCACTCTGAGATAGGATGTGGGTTCCCAAGAAGTTACTACTCACTGCATCACAAGGAATGCCCCTAGTTCCCACCTTTATGATAGTCCTCACTGGTCTGGGCTTTGTGGCACGGTAAGATAGCTGAGATCCACCTTTTATGCCTCCGTTCTAGTTTCTCTAAGAAACTTGGAGAGCATCCTCTTTTTTAGGACATAGGCAGCTTGATGTGTCCTCTGCCCGAGACATGTTGAGTAAGACTATACTCACAGTGCTAGTGGTGGACTCTTAATAGGTGGCATTGAGGCTCTATCCTTGTTTAGGTAGAGAAGGGAAGTCTCCCATTTGTCGTGGTCCACATTGGAGAGGAGAAAACCCATTTGCCTTCTTGGTTCAGTAGCTGGGGATGTGGAATAAAATGAGAAAAGATAATCAACAGAAGAGCTTTATTAAACACTCACACAAGAACTTCAGAGAAATAAGTAAATATCAAAAGGCAATGGGTCCCGGAGCTTTACAAGCCAGCAGGGGCTCTGTTGTGGCAGACAGAGCTAAGTCACCACTTTTGAAGCCAGTTTAAGTATTGGCTGCCATGTTTCCAATCTGGCTTCCTGTTAAAGTGCCTGGGAAGGCAGAGGAAGATGGTCCAAGAACACTGGCCCCTGCCATGCCTATGGAAGACAGGACAAAGTTCCTGTCTCCTGGTCCAGCTCTAACAGTTAAGGTCATTTGGAGAGTGAACTAGAAGATGGAACAGCTTTTTCTCGCTCCACCTCTCTGTAACTATGTCTTTTAAATCAATGGGTACCTTTTAAAAAGAAAATAATAGAATGGGGGCCCGGCGTGGTTGGCTAAACAGGCTAATCCTCTGTCTGCAGTGCTAACCTCCACACGGGTGCTGGTTCTAGTCTCAGCTGCTCCAGTTCCAGTCCAGCTCCCTGCTGATGAAAGCAGTGTAGTACAGCCCAAAGCCTTGGGGCCCTGTAGCTATGTGGGAGACCCAGAGGAAGCTCCTGGCTCCTGGCTTTGGGTTATTAGCTCAGCTCTGGCAGTTGTGGTCATTTGGGGAGTGAATCAGCAAATGGAGGGTTTCTTCCTATCCTTTTCTCTGTAAAACCTGACTTTCAAGTAAAAATAAATAAAACTTGAAAAAAGAGAAAGTAATAGAGGTGCGGGTTTCTAGGAGAAGGTGCCTGGGAATTGTGTGGTAAATGAGGCTTGTGCATTGAGGTTTGTAATGCAGGTAAGAGTTGATGACCTTAGCTTTATGGCTTAGGAAATGTGGAGCCTTATGGCTTGGAGGCAAATGCTAGCTCCTGAACGGGCCTCTTCTCCCACTGGACCTTCCTCCTTTAGCTTGGCTTTAACTGAACTGCTTTGGGTGGCAAATTAACCTCTTGCCTCAAATTAACTGACTTGAAAAAGGAGTGGCGCACCCAGCCCTAAAAAGGAGCCCTGAGCAAAAGACTGTGAGGTAATTCACCTCTTCCGCAGATGGAGTGTTTCCATGTTCACCCTGCGGAGTTTTTCCAAAAGTGCAAGGCCCTGAGCAAGAATTATCTACCACCTTACTCAATGGGGCCCACGTTGCCATCATCCAAATCCATACAGACCAATCAGGGACCTGTAAGGGGCCGATCATACATCTCTGAGTCCCAACTTTAATCTGTGCGATCCTCTGCCCCCACTCCCGGAGGGAGCCCGGGGATTAAATAAACTGCTAGTATAATTCGTATCAGCACTGCGATTTGCAAAAACTGGGAGTGGGGTTTCCACTTAACTTCTAGGTATAAAACCCTTGTTAGAAATTAAAGATTGTCACGGTTTGGCTTTTCAAATGCGTACTCTAAGTAAATATCTCCTTACACAGATGTCCAACGCCTCGTTTTTTGAACATCCCGATCTTCCGATGTCGCAATCAGAACTCGATGTTTTCAAAGCTCTCGGCAAAAACTAAACACAGGCGTTCTCAGGAGACACCAGGCCAAAGGAATGTTTCCAGGCGGCCCCGATCTCGCCCCTCAAAGCGTGGGACGGGAAAGGCCGCGCCACAGGAAATAGCTGAGGGCTGCCAGAGGCCATCGGAGGCCGCCCGGCTCGCAGGGCCAGGCCGCGCTCCCGCCCGCTCCCGCCCGCCCGGCGGCGCCCGCCGCAATCCGGGTCCCGCCGCAGGCCGGGCCGGCCCCTTCCGGCGCGCAGCCGGGGCCATGGCGCTTTTACGGCTGCTGCTGCCGCGGGGGCTGCGGGCGTCCGTAGGCCGCCGCTTCCCGCTCGGCCCCTCCGGCTGCCGGCGTCTCCGTGCCGCCTCAGCCCGCCGGGACGCACGGCCTCCGCGCACCGCGACCATGGAGCAGCCCGGAGCGGGTGAGGCGGCTGGCTGCCCGGCGGGCCCGGGGCGGTCGGAGCCGGCGCGGTGCTCGGCCTCCCGGAGGGCCGGGCCTGTGGCGGGCCGGGGCTGTGGCGAGCCCGACCCCCGGCGGCCACGCTCGCTCGGGTCGCGTTTCTCCCTCTGCGGGGACTCGGTGTAGCACTGGGGAGCGGTGCTGGTGAATGCGCTTTGGGAACGGTGCTGCCTGGGCCGCGGAGTTTTAAGGCACGCGTTGATGCGACTGGAGGCGAGGCGTGTGAAGCCTGCCCCATTTCACGTTTGTTTTCCCTTTTCTGTTCTCGCGTTCCTTTACGCCAGTGAGTTCTTGCCAACACATTCGACCCCAGAGGTTTTGGCGTAGTAACCCAAACCCAGAACCATCTCCATTTTATTTTCTATGATGAGAATCGAAATCCTCGAATTGGCAGACCGTTTCGTGTAGGATTTTATTCCGGGTTGGAAACGACCGATTTAAAAGTGGCGCCCAGGCTTTCCTAGCTCCCAGAGTGGATTTCCGACTTGGGTCAGCAGTGGCGGCAAAGTGAACTGTGTGGGCCGAGCGAGGGCGGGATCTGGTGAAAGGGATCAAGAACCAATTAGAGGAAACTTACACAACAATGGGTAGTGCCAATAGGATGATGAAGGGCTCCTGGGCAGGTGCCTAACCAGTGAATTAGGGAGCTGCATCCTAGGAAGGGCGTTGTGAAAGCGAAAGTTACATCTCAGTACTTGCGCTGCCACTGCCCTTGCAATTCAGGATCCTGTCAGTGTACCTAGGACAGTCGGGTCTTTTCAGTATGCATGCTGTATTAAGGAGGTTTAAAGTGATTCGGAAAGTTATCTCCTCTTTTCCTTCCTTTTCAGATATTACAGTGTTGTCCATTTCTCCTCAGTAATTTGGATTGTACTCCTTTGATTCTTTTTGATGAGGAAAAAACCAGAGAGTGGAGGTCAGGTGACTGGCTGAGTAGCAAATACTTCTCAACATCCATCCAGATGCAGGAAGCTACCATTTTTATTAACTAAGCCACCACTAGTGGATGGCCTTTTGTAAAGCTTTAACCCGGCAAAGCGATTGGAGAGAGATGAAGCTGAATAAGATTGTATTTTGTTGCCCAAAGAGAAAACTTGTGCTTGGCGTGCCAACAGGCCAACCGTGTATCATAGCTGACGTGATCGGACCTCAGTCATATCCTGAAATGCAGCTGTATCAGAGTGTTAGCTTATGTTTACATACATGGTTTTATAATGTATCTTTGACATGTGAGAAGCTGTTTTTCTTATAAAAGTCATATCCAAAAGCATTCGAATAGAGGAAATGGGAAACATACAAATATATTTCATTTAGCTGTGCCAGCTTTACGGTTAATCTATATCCTTTAGCTTTCCCCTACATAATTGCAACTCATGGAGCAGATGCAATTATGGAAGAACTTTTTAAAAAAAGATTTATTTATTTTTATTGCAAAGTCAGATACACAGAGAGGAGAGATAGAGAGGAAGATCTTCCATCCAATGATTCACTCCCCAAGTGACCACAATGGCCGGTGCAGTCCCTATTTGAAGCCAGGAGCCAGGAACTTCCTCCAGGTCTCCTATGTGGGTGCAGGGTCCCAAGGCTTCGATTGCTTTCCCAGGCCACAAGCAGGGAGCTAGATAGGAAGTGGAGCTGCCGGGATTGGAACTGGGGCCCATATGGGATCCTGGCGTGTTCAAGGCAAGGACTTTAGCAGCTAGGCCACCGCGCCGGGCCCTTGGATTAACTTTTAAAAAATATTTGCTGTAAAGCTCTTTGCCCTTGTTGCAGTTGCCATAACCAGTAGTCAAAGTCGTCTTGGGAGTGAATATGTTTTGTTTAACCATTTCCTTGTTTAGTAAGTTTTTACACTTCTTTTTTTGATGCCATTGGTTTAAGCAAATCTGTGGTCAGTCTAGTCTGTTTGGACACACGTGATAGACAGCCCTAGGTTAGAGCAAGCACTGACAGGCTCCCCAGGATTCCCTATTGCTTTCTGAAAGCAGCAGCTCAGGTTACAGTGCAGGCCTGGCAGGGTGCTGGGAAGGGTAAGTCATGGAGTGCTTGGGTTCAAACTCCAGTCCCATAACTTGTTAGTTCCTTGATTACAAGTCTGTAAAATGAGTATTTGCTAATGGCATGGGCATGTGATTTAATCACGTTACTCTGAAGTGCCTGGCTCAGAATTCAACTTTCACCATGAGCTAGTGTCCACTGCATGTTGATGTTAGCAATGCAATTAGTTGTGTACTTTTTCTTCAGGTTTGCACAAAAGGGGAAACTTTAACTACAGTTTGACCAAATTTTAGGAGACTTAAAAACACTTAAGGCTTAATTAAATGTGGTCTGAACGTAGTTGAGGTGCTTTACTTAAGGGTTGGTTATTTTAGAACAACTTTCCAAAAGGCCAAATGGTTCTTGTTTCTGATGAACCTTTGTCCAAATGCTAGAGCTTTGATAAATGGAGGCAGATTCTCCGTGTGCGAAAGCGCGAACGATTATTTCACGGAACAGCCAACTAGCAGTTCTTTGAAGACTTCACTTGACAGTGGCACTCTTTTTCTTTTTCTTTTTTTCCTTTTGAGTGAACAAGTCCTGTCTAGAAATTGCCTCAGTTATTCTATGATTTAATAGCAAATAGTTTGTGTTTCACATTCTATACTCCTTCATTATTTATTTTTATTTTGATTATTTTTTAAAAATTTGAGTGGCAGACAGAAAAGACACACACTCACAGCTCTTATGTGCTGGCTCGCTACCCAAATCCCTTAACCACAGAGTTGGCCTAGGGCCCAGCAAGAAGCTTGGCCCTCAGTCCAGGTGTCCCGGGTAGGTGGCAGGAACGCAGTTACTTGAGCTGTTGCGGCTGCATTTCAGGAAGCTGGTTAGAATTCTGTCAATTCTGATGTAACATTACCTTTGAGTTTATTATGCTTTATTTAGCAGTATAAATAATGTTGGGCAAGTCATGCTATATTTTAATATTTATTTTTATGTCAAATGGGCTGTTTGTCCCTTTGTGTTATTCATCCAGTGGAAATGCAGCAGATGTGATAATACTAGACTAATGGTAAACACTGAACATTATTTTTAGTGGGCATTGACATAGTTGCATTGCAGTGTAACCTGAATGATTTATTAAGCACTCCAGAAGTATACTTAGCAAAAATTTATTGAGCACCTATAGAAACAGTAGCTCAAAGGAGACTAAGGCAAGGCCCTTAAAGAAGTAGGGTACCACTCTTATGCTAGGGTGAAATTATGGAAAGTTCCCCCATTCATTTTCAAAAGTGTTCTGGTTTCAGTAGTAAATTATAAGGTCGCTTTGATCATGGAGTCCAATGCAGGACAGACAAGTGAATGTCTGTAACATAATGCATTGCCTGGGGAGATTGTATTGTCAATTGCAGGCCACAGAATCAGGTCCATTTTCCCCGATGAAATGGAAGTCTGATCTGAGTTTTGCCTTTGCAGTTGGTTGTTCTCATCCATTGACACAGTCTTTAGTCTGCTCTAGAATCAGGAACTGGAGAAGTGGAAGGGGACCTTTGAGGAAAAACGCCCCCTTGTACATTGGAGTCACTCTTACGACTTTATTTTTGACTTTGTTTATTAACTTGAAAGGCAGGGGTGGAGCGAGAGAAGGAGAGAGAGAGAGAGAGCACGTGAAAGCGAGCTTTCATCCCTAAATGGCCACAATGGCTAACACAGGGCCAGGCTGAATCCAGGAGCTCGGGACTCCATGTTGGTGCCCTAAGTGGGCGATAGGGACCTAAGCACTTGGGCTGTCTTCTGCTGTTCTCCCAGGTGTTAGTTGGATCTGGACCTGATCTGGGATTCCTGTATCCAACTGCAGTGATCTAACGTGGTACAACATGTGCTTCTCTGTGGGACTCTAAGGAATCCAAGCATGGCTTGATCCCTAGAGAGTTCAGTATGCTTAGCACTGAATGGGGCCCTGAGGCTGGTAATTTTCTGAAGGCTTTCAGTGCCTGTTAGTGTGCAGTTACCGTCATCACCCTTGTTACTGCCCTAATCTCCCTAGCTATAACCAGAATCACTCATGTTTGCTGTTTGAGCCCAGGATGAACTGTAAAAGTTAGACTATATCCAGAACTTTTTTACTTAAAAAGAATTTCCTCCTTTCTTTCAAAATGTCTCATTGGAGTTTTCAGAAGTCAGTTTCCTGCGTTCCAAATGTTGCCAGCAATCCTTATTTGTGAGTGGCACATAGACTTGGAAGCTAGCTAGTATTGATGTCTGTTTTAAATGGATTCGTTTCATGTCACCAAATTCTTCGCTTGAGAATAGAGAAAAAACAGCAGTTAGGTTTCATCTCTTTGATTTTTTATTCAGCCTGGTTCATATTTTAGTGCACACATACTCTTAGTGCTAGCTTTTTATGTGTGATTGGCATGGTCAGTGATGATCCTTTATGTGTAACAGCCTGTGTCCATAAGTCTGTTTGATGTCTATTTGATCTCCTCATGTTTAAGTCTAAACTGTGTGAAGACTGAAAGACACTTGATTTATGCTCATACTTTTCAAATGCTTATAAGTTTATGAATATGCTCATTTGTTAGATACTTTATATTTCAGGCACTCAGGCACTCCCTAATTTTTTTTTTAATTTATGTACATGGTTCTCACTGTTTTGTTTTAAAAAATATTTATTTGAAAGAGTGATAGAAGAGAGGAAGAGACAGAGATGCTGCTTAATTCCCCAAAGTGGCTGCAGCAGCTAGGGCTGGATCAGTTTGAACAGTGGCTTGGAAATCCCTCCAGGTCTGCTCCGTGAGTGGCAGGAACTCAAGTACCCGAGCCGTCATGTGTTACTTCCTAGCACGTTAGGAAGGAGTTGGATTGGAAATAGAGTAACTGGCACTGCAGTATAGGATGTGCAGCTTGATGGATTATACCTCAGCACCCTAAAATTTCAACTGTAATATAAATAGTACCACTATTAAGTACACAGTATTACTTTTGGGGGGCATTGAATTGGACTCTCTGTATATCCGCCTTTCCAATGAAAAAATAATAAAAATAAATCTTTAAAAATGCTATAACTGAAAACTCAGTGCTCCCAAGTATGAACATGCGGAGGACTTTGATCCAAAGAAGCAGGCTTAAGGATTCTCTGCCACTGCTTCCTCTGCCACCACTGGTTGTCTCTAATCCAGTTTTCCTGTTTGCTCCCCCCCCCCCAAAAAAAAAACATCAGGGTCTCTTCGTTTCAGGTTCTCTTAGGTATTTCTAAGGAATGCACTTGTCTTGGTTTCTGTTCCTGAAATTTTGTTAGCTTGAGGAAGTAGTCACTGAGATCATTGTCATCACACCTGCCTTGATGAGGTGATCTGTCCTGAGGGTTGAGTTTTCATTTGCCTAGCAAGATAGCCTTTCTTCCCAGTGTGTTTCACCTTCCCAAGATGGGTGACTACCTCCTTCAGAGTGCAGAGGGATGTTGTTCTGGGCCGTCAACTGTTCTGATTCCTTCGTCCTATGCAAAAATAATTTACCTATTCTTTAAAATTGCCTACGCATACCTTTCTTCCCTATGAAGAGGGTACTTAAGCTGCAACCATCTGGCCCTTCTGTTGAATTTTGTGCTCTGGGCAGTTCCTATGTAGTTTTACATGAATAAGTTGGCCCTTTTCTCTTGTAAATCTGTTCATTGTTAGTTTATTTCAGCAGATTCTAAAAAACAGAAGGGAATTCTGTTTGCTCACATAATATGAACAGTAATAGAGATGACTCAAGTCAAAGCAAGCAAAATTTAGCTCAAAGATAAATATCCATTTTGATTTTTATTTGAAAGGCAGATACAGAAAGAGATGGAGAGATAGCTTCCATCCAGTGGTCCATTCCTCAGATGCTGTAACAGCTATAACTGGGTCAGATCAAAGCAAGGATCCAGAAGTCAAACCAGATGTCCTACTTGGCTGGCAGGGACCCAGGTGCTTGACTGTCATCTGTTGCATTACAGGTGCTTCTTAGCAGGAAGCTGGGTCAGAAACCGAGAACTAGTACACTGTTACGGGATGCAAGCAGCCCAAGCCGTGACTAAAACAAGTGGTAGCTTAACCCACACACTTGTGCCAACACATAGGCTTTTTTGTGATTGATTATGGCCTACCATAGTATTTATTACTTGTATGTGAAAGTGTTTTGTTGGAATTATATTTGAAAATAGAGCGATATAATAGATTCAAATAGATGAGTATTGAAGTATCTTGAGTTATAAATTAGTTCTTAGTAAATCTTATTGTAAATATCCCAGGATTATTTTCAATGGTAGTTTCACTATTTGTCTCTATCACCAAAGATAATGGTAGTGGGGAAACCACCAGCTGGTAGATTTAGCAAATAACTGTCTTAGTTTAAACAGATACCTGTTTTCCTTTACCTTCCACCCGAGACACATTGTTTTCTCACCCAGAACAAGAAAATAAAACAAAAACTAAATAATAAATGGGGATTTAGTATTGGTATATGACCATGAAAGAGCACTTAGGGAAATTGTAAGATCATTTGTTTTTTATGAGACTGACACGCTGCCTACTGCGCTAAGGAGGCAACTGATCATTTGTTTTTTAATAATTGAAATTCCAGAAAAGCATGTTTAGAGTCACATATTTTAAACTGAATTTAAAATGTTAAGTATGACAATGGAAACAGTTTAAAAGTCTCTTCAAGAAAAAAGTCATAGCTTATACAAATGAGAATCTAGAAATGGTCTATTCAAAAACCAATGTGAAAAGATCGAGTGTATTTTCAAAAGGTATGTGGAAAAAGTGCAGTTTTATTAAGAAAAACACAACTGCAGGTAACCTTGAAAGTTATTCATCAGTTTTTATTGTGCCTTGAGTTGGATGCTGTGCTCTAGAAAGTTATTCAAGCTTTAGATGTTTGTTTAATATGAAAGTGGATGTAGAAAATATATACCAGTGTATGAATAATGCTAATGTAGATAGATTTACAATATATTTGAATGGAATTATAAATTTCTTAACACTTAGTAACATTGAATTCAGTTGAGTAGTTTTGTTTAGGATGTGAGCTGAAAAGTAAGTTAAATAATACAAATTTCTCTTGTGATATATTAAAGGAGGAGTAAATCCCAATGAGGATGAAAATGTGTCAAGAAAGGAAATATCAGAAGAATTTGAAATGGATACTGTGGATTCTTTGATAGACATGCCATTTGCTACAGTAGATATTAAAGATGCTTGTGAAAGTAAGTACTTTATTCTCATAAGTATTTACTGAGGAAAAACAAATAATAAATGTAATTATATGTAGTACTTTAATTAAAACATTGATTTTAAATACATGTCATATTTTGAATTTTGGTTGTTAATTATGATCTGTGTCTCTGTTGTCAAACCTGCCATGGAATATATGAAGGCAGCACAACAAATTTGGGGTCCAATCATTCTGTAGTTTATGAGCTGCTTCTGAAAATCGTGGGTGAGATCATCTGATGGCTTAGCGCCTCTTTCAGCTTATCTGGAGCCAGTGGCAATCTCAACAATACCCCATCGTCTGACAGCTTCTTCCTGACTGATAGACACTGCTTGTCTAGGCCTTTGGAGGATCTATCAGTGAATAAGACAGGCACTGACCTGCCCTCCTGGTGCCCAACAGAACTTTCCATTATTGGCATTACTAGATCAGTTCAGTCCTCGAGAGCTCATATAGTTTAGAAAGACTAAATGATTACTTGTTTGACAATCTGCTGAAACTATATAAATATCCAAATCTAAATTTCATGTCATAAAAAATAATAGCATATGTTATGTTTGGGGTTGCCTCCGCTGTAAATGTGACAGATTGGGCTGTTACGCTTGTGAATAGCAAAACAAAGGAAAGCATCAATGTGTTCAACACAAGTATTTATTGCTGATGTACTCTCTGCCTCTCGCTTGTTGTTTTACGTGAAGCTTCATTGTGACTTGATAGGTTGTTATCATGACTTCAGGCTTCATGAGACTTTATTTAATTCAGTCTCTTCATTTTGAGAAAATGGAAACTTACAGAAATTAAGTACATTCACTAAATCCGTACAGTTGAAAGGCACCAGTTACAGTATCTATGATTCCTGATTCTTTAGTCATTTCTTGGAGGACTATTGATTGGATTCCTGGAAAATGCCAGGAATTGTGCCATGAGTCCTTGGCTGTCAAGCAGGCCGGAGCTTATTAGAAAGCCAACACATTAACAGCCATAATTTCATAAGGCAGCTGCCATGCAGGATGCGTGGGGGAGGAGGGTGCCCAGGAAGGCTGTTCAGAGGTTTGGAGGGTAAAAGCAAGACACTTTCAGAATCCTGGAGAGCAAATAGGAGTTCCATAGCCATGGCATCCTTACAGCTGTGCTGATGAGAAGTCTAAGGGACTAGAGAGAAGCAAGGAAGTAGTTTTGGGGCGTGTTTTCCATTCTTGTTCTGACAGTGAGCTGCTTTTTCAGTGTTTGGGCGTCTGGGGACCGGGGCGTGCTTCATATGACTAGGATTGTTTTCCTGCAGTGGCGTATATATATTTTACCAAAGAGATGAGGTTATCCATGTATATCAGAGGCCCGGGCCAGTCATAGAAGCCTGTTTTAACTCTGTGGTGATACGCCACTTTTTCATAGTCCAGATCTTCATAAGTTAAAAGTGTTTTGGATTTGGGTTAGATTCACGAGAACACAGATTTCAAATTTCAAGCTCCAGTGTACACATGGGAAGTAAACAGGAAACTGTGTTTTAAGTTTTAGTTATTTCCTTTTTTGCTCATTTGACTTTGGACATTTAAACTGTAAACTGGGCTTCTTTAACTGTAAAATGTGGATAGTAATTCCCTCCCACTTACCTCATACTGTTGCTGTCAACAGAGATATATGTGCAAAAAATAGTTAACATATTTATAAAATATTTGCAATATACCTCTTAGCTTTTCAGGAACAACTTACTGTCTCATTTTTATGATGAGGTTACTAAAACAACAAGGACCAAGTGGCAAAATCCTTTGCAAATGGGAAACTACTAATTTTTGTGAAGTTTTAAATAGAAATGTAAAAAAAAAACCCAAGTGTTTTCTTGTTAGCCATTAAGCCTTAATATATATATAATAATAGTTTTTCTGCCCCAAATAAAAAATAGCCAACTTGTGGTATGAATGAACTCGATTAGGCTTTCTTTTGTGTTTGGTACCTTGTCACTCCACTGGCCTGCAGTAGATACCCAAGTTATCAGGTTGTGCTAGTTGCCTGTGGTTCCTTCAGTTTTCTTTGGCGAATGGAAACTGAGTTATCTGCCAAAGAAGTCTTGCCAATAGAAATTTTGGCATAGTGAGGAGGAAAAGAGTGCTAACAAGGGCATTGTGAGAAGGGAATCTTTGCCAGTGAGAAAACTGCTGGGATGCTTAGTTCAGTGTCCATAAGCTGCCAGTGTGTTAGCTTTTAAGTGAGTTTAGGTGACATGAGGTCTGGTTAGCTGGAATGGGTCTTTACAACCTTTGCTGGTTAGCTTTGTAAGAAGAATATTTTATTAGAGTTATATATTAGAATATTAGATCTACTACACTGTAGATACTAGAACTAAACATACATTGGAATATAAGAGTCTGTTAGAGACAAAATTTCAAAATAAAAGTTAAGAAAAAGTTTTTAGAGATAACTGGTGAGGAAGCAATACAACCTGGGTACATCTTTGTCTCCCTTTGGGTCCTGTTTTAGGAGAAAATCCAGCATTAGTGCGTGTTTGACTGGGACCTTGGTGAATTTCTGCTCTTTACAAGGGAAGTGTCGTGGGTCTTATTAGAGAGCCAGCACCCATCCTGCCATCCAGAGCCCAGGAGGAGTTACTGTTATGTCTGAAAGTTGAATGGGTAGCTGTCATAGACAGTCATTCCGCTAACTCAATCCTCTTGCATTCATTGGCTGCATATTTTTAAAGATGAACTTTAACCTTGTTTAACTGTTTCATTTCCTGTGTAACTGGTTTTAAGAAAAAGCGAGGACAAGTGTTTAACGTTTTCCCCTTAATCTTTAGATATTTAAAATAATACTTCTACAGAAGCTTCCACAGGTGACCTGTGAGTTTCTGGCTTACTTTCTTTTTAGTATAATCATGAACTGATGGATTTAAACATACTTGTTCTATTTCATACCAACGAAATTGCACAGATAGTTCCGTCCTGGGCTACGTTAACCTCAGAGAGCTCTTGACACGATCCTAGGAACTTGTCCAGGCTTCTCTTACACATGATGTGCCACAGGTCTAGAATGTGTGATTTCTCCATGGGATGTGCAGTTTTTAAGTTCTCAGACAAGTAAATGCACTAATGAGATTGTTAGAAAATGTCCTGTGGTTCTCTAGTACAGACTCCTCGGGAATGGCCTCAGCACAGTTACCTTCCCAGCAGCCCCTGCTCTCCCCCCTTCCCATTGGTAGAGTGCTTACTTCCGCAGGACAGGTTGATAACTGTTGGAGTCTCAATATCCTCACATGGAATTAACCTTGTATTTTAAATTAGGCAATAAAATGTAAGAGGAGGGGTACTGGGAATTTTCTTAATGCTTAAAACTGTAGTTTTACTTCATATAACCTGTGTTTTGCTTTTGAACATTTGCTTTTCAATGTTGTATTAATGAACTTTTCAGTATAAAAAAATACCTGGGGGATGCCCATCTTAAAAAAAAGAAAAGGGGACAGGCATTGTGGTCGAGTGTCTTAAGGTCTGCCACCTGTGACAGGGACATCTCTAGTGGGTGCTAGCTGAAGTCCATTTCCCATTCAGATTCCTGATAATCACCCGGTAAAGCAGTGACCGAGTGCTTGGGCTTCTGCCACACATGTGGGAGACCTGGGTGGAGATTTAGGTACCTGGATTTGGCCTGGTGCAGCCTGAGCCCTTATACTTGTCTCGGGAGTGAACCAGTAGATGAAAGAGATCTTTTTCTCTGTTTCTCTCTACTCTGTGTAACTCAACCTTTCAAACAAATAAATAAAGGTTAGAGGCTTAGCCTACTATGCCACATTGCCAGCCACTATATCTGTATATGTGTATGTATACACACACACACATAATTTTTTTAAAAAGAGAGAAATGGTTTAGTTGGGCAAAAAGTTGTGAAAGTTCAGTTTCACAGTCTACAATCAAGTGGGCAATTTTGATTTGATCCCATGGGGTGATGTAGAACATCATGTTTCAAGAGGGAAATGTGTCTTTCTCTCCTGTAAAGCTACAGTGATTTAGGGTCCGGTGTGGCAGCGCAGTGGTTAAAGCCTTTGCCTTGCACTCGTTGGGATCCCATATGGGCACTGGTTCTAATCCTTGCAGCCACACTTCCCATCCAGCTCCCTGTTTGTGACCTGGGAAAGCAGTGGAGGACGGCCCAAAGCCTTGGGACCCTGCACCCACATGGGAGACCTGGAAAAGCTCCTGGCTCCTGGCTTCGGATTGACTCAGCTCCAGCTGTTGTGGCCACTTGGGGAGTGAACCATCGGATGAAAGATCTTCCTCTCTGTCTCTCCTCCTCTCTGTATATCTGACTTTCCCATAAAAATAAATCTTTCTTAAAAAAGGTACAATGATTTGATATTTGCCCCAGTTCAATCTAGTCCCTTGCCAAACACCTTCTCTGAAAGTACTGTAATGGTTTCTCTCTACCATCTTAGTATAAATAACATGAATACTTTGGGAACTAGATCTTTAAAACATGTGTCTTTGGAGGATATTTACCATTTAAACCAATATACAGTCCATAAGAGATATTATATTTCATTTTAAAGAACTCCTCATTTTCCATGTTTATAGATCGCACAAGTGGTCTGAGTGAATGATAAACCACAGCTACCATATACATAATCTGTTGCCCTTTGGAATCTTTTAAATCATATTTTGAAAAGATTTTTACTTATTTTTACTGGAAAGTCAGATTTTACAGAAAGTAGGAGACACAGAGAGATCTTCAATCCACTTGTTCACTCCCCAAGTGGCTGCAATGGCCAGAGCCGATCCGATCTGGAACCAGGAACCAGGAGCCTCTTCCGAGACTCCCACATGGGTACAGGGTCCTAAGACCTTGGGCCGTCCTCGACTGCTTTCCCAGGCCACAAGCAGGGAGGCAGAAGGGAAGTGGAGCATCTAGAACATGAAGAGGCACCCATATGGGATCCTGGCACATGCAAGGTGAGGACTTTAGCCACTAGGCTACCATGCCAGGCCTGTAAATCATTTTGGTAATACA